AAACTTCTAGGCTTACAGGATGGCACGTTCATGTTTTAGAGATGGAAACTTCAGCCGCATCCTCTCTATTAGTATTTTGCAAAGCTTTAGAAATTGGCATTGTTGGAACATCAACATTGTCTGTGTATGTTGTATTCATCCTCACTAATTTTAATAATTTTGGAAGACAATGAAGCTATAATATCATCAGTCAAAAGTTCCCTAATAACAATTTCATCAACCCTGACATATTTTTCAAAATCATAGGCAGAAAATGCTTCTGGTAACTGCAGAGGGAGCGCATTGTAAACCACCTTTTGTATCATCGTTTCATAAGTTTACTTTTCAAAAGTTTGTTGATTTGGAATGTCGTTGTCTAAATCAAATTCTTCTCTATTAGTTTGTAAAAAGCCGACAATCGAAAACAATTTGCTATTTTTTGCATTGATACATTTTGTCATGCAATATGGACGAAGTTTATTGCATCAAGAAGATTTATAGACTTTAAAATAATTTAAAACATATTACGTTTGAAGATTTATAGAAAACAATTCTTCACTATTATCTATAGAAGTTACCATTTTTGAAAGAAGAATTTGCCAATAGCTGCTCTTTAAGCTCTGCATAACCCCTTGATCCTAAAAGCTGTAGTTTTGAACTTGTATTGGATGGCATGAACACCAGTGTAGTGTGCAATGTAAATTCTTGATGTTGGGATGCGGCAATCAGTTGTCAATCAATAATAAAATTTCTTGTTTCTTCTCAGTTCTTCATCCCATTCTTGCAGTTCTCAATAGAAAATGTTGGAGGTCATCCAAGCTCTTCGGTTTAGATTTGTAGTTTACCAGTAGTTTATCTATAATGTAAGTCATTTATATTACAGATAAAATACAGATACAGTAGAGCATTGATTATCTGACCCCCCCCCCCCCCCCCCCCCCCCCCCCCCCCCCCCCCCCCCCCCCCCCCCCCCCCCCCCCCCCCCCCCCCCCCCCCCCCCCCCCCCCCCCCCCCCCCCCCCCCCCCCCCCCCCCCCCCCCCCCCCCCCCCCCCCCCCCCCCCCCCCCCCCCCCCCCCCCCCCCCCCCCCCCCCCCCCCCCCCCCCCCCCCCCCCCCCCCCCCCCCCCCCCCCCCCCCCCCCCCCCCCCCCCCCCCCCCCCCCCCCCCCCCCCCCCCCCCCCCCCCCCCCCCCCCCCCCCCCCCCCCCCCCCCCCCCCCCCCCCCCCCCCCCCCCCCCCCCCCCCCCCCCCCCCCCCCCCCCCCCCCCCCCCCCCCCCCCCCCCCCCCCCCCCCCCCCCCCCCCCCCCCCCCCCCCCCCCCCCCCCCCCCCCCCCCCCNGTTATCCGACCAACCTGAGTCCCCAATTGAGTTGGATAATCGATGCTCTACTGTAAATATGAAATTATTAAAAGGTTGGAAAGCAGTGAAAAACAAAGCAAATTATGTAAAGAAATGAATATAACTAAATCAACAGTTGCTGCCATTTGGAAGGAAAAAGACAAAATATAGTAAGACCTCATTTAATGTGGGGGATGCATTCCTAGATGGCAAATTGCTAAGCAAAACGGTGTTAAACGAGGTCATTTTAACATAGAGTAAATAGGGAAAGGGCAAAAATAAGCAAATTTTACTGTAATTTTAAGTTATATCATTATGCAAATTAATATAAAAATATGTTAAATAACACACAAACATATGCACACAGAAATGTAAAGTTAATTTTTTGTGATGAAGGTTCTGGCTTTTCTGAAATTTTTTTTGCGATAAAGTCATGTAGTTTCATTTGTTGGTTTTTTTTTCTTTCCTTAAGCAAATGTCTGTAGCAAGAGATCACATCCAAAACGTTTTGTTTTGCTTTTGCACTCCTTTCAAAATCTGGATCATTCGCTACAATTTGATCAACAATTTCGATTATCATTACCAAATTTTTATTAAGGAAATCTATAGAGAAATTCTTTGGGTTCTTCATTTTCAGAATCTCTATTTTCCAGTTCTACATGATTTCCTTGTTCTGCCAGTTCTTGAAGGTTGTCATTGGTAAGGCTCTCACCAGAAACCTGCAGAAACTCCTCAATATCCTGCTCGTCTACATCTCCTAGTCCTGCTGTATCAATTAGGTTGCTAATTTGGTCAACCTAATGATACAGCAATAGGCTCTTCTTGTTGAGAATTCTTGAATACCTTCAGCCATAACTTCTTCCGCACTTCATTCATGCATTTATCAGTTAATTCTTGCCAAGCGAAGTCAATATTGCCTATGGCATCAAAGATGTTATATTTTTTCCAAAATTGCACCAAACAAACAAAGATTTAAGGAAAGTACAGCACTATGACGAATTGCCACCTTTTGCTGATTGGTTTGTGTTTGGGAATACAGTAGAGCCTCAAACTCGGCCTAATGTGGACCGAAGGGTGGCAGAGTTTGTGAAAATGCCAGGTTATCGGGAATGGGGTTAAAAAAAATAAGTACGAGTGTTTCCTCAGAAAATACTGTACTGTACTTGTATGTATTGTTTACTTGAGAATACAACAGAGAATAAACTGCCCAAATACCCTTAAACAAAGGAAAAGTACGTCCTTTATGAAGGCATAGAGCCTTTACTACATGAAAATGAAAATTAATGAATACACTGTGTACAGTAATTTACCTGATAAGACAGACCTCAGAATAATACTTTATGAGAGCTTTTATACTTTTATAAAGCTGTCTATAATGAAAATTAATTAACTAAAGATTTTTTTGCTCTGCCAGAGTGTGGCCGAGTTATCCGGAGTGCCGAGTTTTCGAGGCTCTACTGTAATTGTATTATATACAAATCAGTAAAATTCTTCAATAATTTGAATCAGTGTAAATTTTGAGCTTTTTTCTAGGCTTTGAACAGATCACATTGTATCGAATCAGCGTTAATTGAGGCAGCATTAAGTGGGGTTTACTATACTTGCAATTTTCATACATGATAATCCAAATGCTAAAAAGCATAGAAAATCAGCACATGTTGAATTAGATCAAGTATTGTTAAAATGATTTTCTCAACAGACTTAAAAACAAGATTTTAGTGCAGTCATAAGCAGAAGAGTTAGAAAGCAAATTGGAAAAGAGTACCAAGTTTAAATGAAATAGAAGTTGGGATTAAAAGATTTAAAAAAAGATATGGATGTGGTAGAAGAATGGTTGCAAAATAGAGAATATACTTATATATTTAGAGAAAATACTCATATAATTTAGAATTTTTTAATAAAAGTAATGAATGCTGAGTTTAAATATTTGGTCCATTTATTATGAAATTTGATTAATTTGCAGATCACTGTTTCATATTTGGCTGTGAATGAAAAATTGTTAGTGCTAACAATAAAAAAATTTAAGTTTTTTTTTTTTAAGATATCATATTTTCAATTGGTACTTGACCAATGAAATTGTGCCCTTTAGTACCATCTGATTATCGTGATAACCATTACAATGGTAAGCTAAAATAACCAAACTCTTTATATGGTTTTTGCTTTAACATTTCTTATATCCTAGTATTTGATTGATATAACTACAAATGTTATCTTACGTAAGGGTTTATCACACCAAGTAACCAATCTAAGACATTTAAAAAATTTTTTCCTCTACAGTACACAATTTAAAGAATTTTAAAATGTATTAGATTGATGTGATAAACCTTTATGTAAGATAATGTTTATAGTTATATAAATCAAATACTATAATATAATAGAAGGATTAGAAGTAAAAAATAATTTTAATGTTTGTACTTATTTTTTGCCAGGACAATGTCAGGCTTACTTGCTACTTTATAAATATAAATTAATATAAAGAAAATTTAAAATTAAAATCTTTTATTAAAAATCAAAAAATTATGATTTTTTAGAATTTTATTTTTTCTTTTATATTGTTTTTATATGTATCTAATGTTGTTTTTTGTTATAGCTTTAAATTTACCTGAAGAATATCATATATTGAGTTGAACCAAAAGTTTGTTTGGGTATTTACATAATTACTTGTCTGTGGCACCTCTGTCATGTTTATCAAGTTTTAACTTCAACCATAGAAGATGAATCCATAATGGCTTTAATTCAAAATGATCAGCATAAAACAACACAAGAGATAGCCGACATCTTAAAAATATCCTTAACATCTGTTGTCAGAAATTTGGCTAGCACTGCCACTGGATACACTTCCCGTTATGATGTTTGTGTTTCCTATCATTTACTTGAACGAAACCTTATTGAGTGTGTTTCTGTATGTGATTCACTTTTGAAATGCAGTGATGATGATCCCTTTTTTAAATGATTAATAACAGGCAATAAAAAATGGATCATTTACAACAATATTCAATGCAAGAGATCTTGGAGTAAGCCAGGTGATCCTCCAGTGCTGCAACCTAAAGCTGGTTTGCATCCCAGAAAAGTAATGATTTCAGTTTGGTGAGACTGGAAAGGGGTTCTTTATTATGAGCTTTTACCCAACAACCAGACAATTCCAATAAATATTGTCTCCAACTGGATGAACTAAAGGCTGCAGTGCATCAAAAATGTCCGGAACTTGCATGCAAATCAATGGGGAGTGGTATTCCAACATGATAATTCAAGACTGCACATATTGTTAAACGTGTGCCAAAAACTTCTAGACTTTAACTGGGATGTTTTGAGTCACCCTGCATATTCTCCAGATATTGCTCCCTCAGACTATCATCTTTTTTGTTCATTGCAGAATAATTTAAATGGCATAGAATTTCAATCTTTAGAAGGTATCAAAAATCACATCAATAATTTCTTCAATCAGAAACCCACCCAATTATACACAGATGGAATTATGAAACTACCCGTCAAGTGGAGTAAGGTTATCAAACAGAAGGGTGAATACATTGTGGATTAAATGTTTTTATTTATTTCAAAATAGTATATTTTATTTCTTTCTAAAAACTGAACAAACTTTTGGTTTAACCCAATATATTTTTCAAAAAATAGATTTATATAAATATCTAATAATTAATATAAATTACTATTTGATAATTTTACAGCTCTGGGAGCAGCATATGGGACAGCAAAGTCAGGAACTGGAATTTCTGCTATGGCTATTATGAGACCAGAACTTATTATGAAATCAATCATTCCAGTAGTTATGGCTGGTATCATTGCTATTTATGGTTTAGTTGTTGCAGTTCTAATTGCTAACAACTTAGCTCCAGAGTTATCATTGTATAAGTAAGTGTTTATTTATTTTAGTGCTATAGATATTAATGATTAATCTTATTTGTTTAAATCTTGATTTCTTTAGCATTTAAAAAATCATTAATTTTTTTTCATTTTGATTTTTTAAGGTTAATTTATGAATGTACTCTTAATAAAATATACTAAATTAAAATTAACTAACTTTCTGATAGAAGTACAGATATTTTAAAGAACTTAAAAAGGAATTTTCTCCATTTAGGCAGGCATGCAATGAATACATGGAATGCAATAAAAAAAGTTTAAAAACAAATAATTCTGAATAATAATATTACCTGCTACAATAGCCAAGTATAACCTGCTACACCCAACATAATTATTATTATTATGTTGGGTGTAGCAGGTTATACTTGGCTGATACTGGTTGTTGTGTACTATGCCAGTCTGGAGTCAAGGCATAGCAACCAAAACAAATCAAAAATTAAATAAATGTCAGTGTGTGTGTCTGTATTCAGGAATTTCCTAACAATATGACATGTATGTAATATAGTGGCCTTCTGTAGTGTAGTGTGTTTCTATTCAACCATAATGTTCCCAGGCTTTTGTGTAGTGTGTGTAGTATGACACCTGTAGAGGAGAGAATGACAGGTACAATAAGCACTCTATCCATCCTCCACAGATGCCTTATTTCCTGGATGAGTTCTGTGTACTTGCTGATTTTTTCAGTGCATGTGTTTTGTACATTGTGAGTGTTTGGATTGGTTATGTCTATAATGTATATGTGATTTTATTGTGTTTGTCAATGAGTATGATGTCTGGGGCCGTATTCTGGTCACCGTCTCTCGTCTCTTGTCTCTCACAAGCCGGTCGCTGATTGGTTAATCCAAATGATTAGCCAATCAGCGACCAGAATGTGAGAGGCGAGAGACCAGAGACGGTGACCAGAATACGGTCCCTGGTCTGTTGTGGTAAATTGTTCTATATGTGATTGTCGCTCTGTCATAGTACATTTTGAGTGTGTTGTTGTCCAATACTGTCTGTGGGGTGTATTTGTAGTATGGTTCTTGGATGTCTAATAATTTGTTTGTTTGCAAGCTCTTTGTGTATTGCTACTTGATTATGTCTATGTAAGTAATCTGTCTGTACCAAGAGCTTGCAACCAGAAGTGATGTGTTGTATAGTTTCTGGCAAGATATGACATTTCCTGCATGTGTCATTTGTGAGTGTTGTATCTTTGAGTGTGTGTTTTCTGTAGTTTTTAGTATTTATGACCTGATCCTGTATGGCAATCATGAATCCTTCTGTCTCCCCAAAGACATCCCAGAGCTAACCAGCTGTTTGACATGGTTTTGTCAACAGAATCCAGGGACACGTCATAGGGATTCCTGCCATGGAGTGTCTTTTGAACCCACAATTGCTTAATGGGGTCTATGCTTTTTGTGTGTTGTGTCGTGTTCATATGCTGTGAGTAACTTTAACGGTGTTGTTTGAGTCTGCTGGAATTACTTCTTTATGTAACTGTGATGTTTCTTGTTTTTTGTAGAAAAACTCAGTGACTGTATTTGTTTGTAGTGAAGGTTAACTTATGTCAATAAGGCCACATCCACCATTTTTACATGGAAGGGTTAATTTTTCTAGGATGATGTTGTTCATGCTTAGTAAGTGTTGTTGTTGTTGTTTTCATTTGGAGTTGCTCAAGATCGGTGTGAGTCCAATGTATAACTCCAAAAGAATATATCTGGGATGACATATGTGTTTATTGTTTTAACTGTGTTTTGAGAATAGCATTTAATCTACTTTGGTATTCTTTAATTAATCTTTGCTTTATTTGTGTATGTCCTGTTAATTTGGCCTGTTGGAATCCTAAATACTTGTAGAACTCACCCTCTTCCATGGATTCAATAAAATCTCCATTTCCAAGTGCAAAATCATCTTTCTTCAGGACTCCTTTTTCTTAGTGAAGTGTTTTGCATTTGTCTAGGCCAGTGTTTTTTAATCTGTGGGTTGCAACCCCGAGGGGGGGTCAGGAGAAAAGAAAAAGACAAGTGTTTGTAAGTCCTACACTACAATAAAAAAAACTACAATATCAGTGAGAAGTGTTTATTTTACAGTACAATTGGTGTTTAGATCGATATTTAGGTCTCAACAGAAAAAAACTTAGATATGTAGTTTTTAAAATCACTGACATAGTTTTAATATGGCCCTGGGGGTCACCAGAATATTTTAACTTGTAAAGGGGTTGCTTATTCAAGAAGGTTGAAAAACACTTGTTTAGGCCAAACTCCATTTGTATGTCCTTGGAGTATGAATGTGTGATCTGTAGGAGTTGATGAAGTTGTTTTTGTTTGGATGCATAAAGTTTTGTCATCCATATACATGAGATATGACAATGTGAACTGTGTTGTTTTTTCATGTCTGATACCTATAACAATAGTAATAGTTTAATTTATTATTATATTATTATTATTATTACTAAATAAAAATTTATATACTTCTCAAGTGGGAAATTGAGAATATAAAATTTTCCACAAATTTCTGCTTTATTTATTTATTGTAATTACAAATAGGAAATGTCCAAGGACAACTAATTTCTACTTCTCAAACTAACAAAAATTAATCTCTCTTCTGTTTTTTCCCCCTGGTTGACTGAAAAAGTCCCCCATCTTGGGGAAATCCCAATTTGGCAACTCTTTAGCACCTCTGGTTTAATTTGACACAAGAAAAGAAACAGACTAGATCATGAATATGTTTGAATGCAGTTAATAAAAATCTTCAGTTAGGGGAAAATGAAAACAAATATCAATAATGCCTGCAGTTTAAATAATACAAAATACATTTTCCCACTTCAAATTGGCATCATATTATAAGAAATAAAAATATACACTACTATTTTTAGTTAGTCAAAATTATATAATAAAATGTTTGTTTTATAATAAAATTTTGGCTGTCTGAAAAAGTAGTTATGTTTCTTGCATAATTTTGAAGAAAATAATAATAATTTTCCAGTAAAAAAGTTTATTTGCATTAATAATTGCAAATAGTAAATGTGTTAATTTTATGATTTTAAAGATAATTAGATTAAGTTATTCTGTATTTGATTATAGTAGTTTTTTCTGAATTTTAGAAAATTTACAAATGTTTGTACAAAATAAAATATGCTAAACATTACTGTAAAAAAGTAAAATAATGCAATCATAAAAGATTGCTGACCTCTGGTTTGAACTGTATTGTTAGATATTAACTATATTTATGAAAAATAATCATTCTAGTTTATACTGTAAGATATTTTTTACATGTTAGCATTTATAATGAAAATAATCTAATATTTTGTGCATTTAATACTTAGATCATTTCTTCAGTTTGGTGCTGGACTCAGTGTGGGACTAAGTGGACTTGCAGCTGGATTTGCTATTGGAATTGTTGGTGATGCTGGAGTCAGAGGAACTGCACAACAGCCACGTCTCTTTGTAGGGATGATTCTTATATTGATTTTTGCTGAAGTATTGGGTCTTTATGGTTTGATTGTTGCCCTAATTTTAACCACACATTGATTTTGTTTGACAATATATCAAAATTCATTAACTCCTGTGTTTTCAGCCATTGCTCAGTTTTGTTAAAATGAGATGTCATTTTACAGTTAAGGAGATGATCAAGTCATAAGCAAAAGTTTATTGTCCAAGGGGTTTCATTTCATAAATTATGCAATGTGTATAAATTGAAGATTTAAACATTATAATTAAGATGATTTTTTTTATATAATTTTTGAAATTATTACAAAAATGTTTTCTTTTTCTTATACTATTTCCATAAAATTTATATATTATTGCAGGATATCTTATTTAACTGACAAAAGAAAAAAATAACTATTTACTTGAGATATTTATAAATATATATAGTTATACAATATTTGCAAGCCAATTATTGCTACTTGTGTAAAAATTCAATATTTTATTAAATAGGCAATTTTATAACACAATACAAATGAAGTTAAAATATATTTTTGATAAAAAAGATTGTTTTGTATAATAATAATTTTATACTCACTAAATGTATTTAAAAGTATAAAAATACAAATGAAGTGTATTAAAGCAATTTATCATGAAGTCTAAAATTTCATAAATTTTGTAATTTTACACAATAAATAACATTTTAAAGTATAATCATTAATAGAAACTTGATACTGTAGTTCAATTAATGTTACTGCATTCAAAATTAAAATTTTTATAAATTTTTTAAAAAGCAGGCAAATTTATAAAACAAAAATTAATGAAATTACTAAAAAAAATTAAAATAAATTTAAAACTTGATTTACTTTTGTGCAAAACAACACTAAAACAATTTCTACAGTTAGTTATGTTGCAAAAGCAAACAGAGTTACAATTAATTTAGAAAAATTATAATTAGGAATTCAAAAATGCAGGCAAAATTACATACAAAGTAATACCTATGAATACCATACCATAGTAATACCATAGTAATGAATTAAACCTAAAAATTAATTAAAATCATAAATAACAGCATAATTATAATTAAAACTCTGGCCTTGAAACCAAAAAAAAAATCAAATCAAATAAAATCAAATCAATCAAAAACTAATCAAATCAATTTGAAATTAAAACATTTTTAAAAACTGTGTAAAAGTAGTTTTTGAAATTTTCAAATTGTAAATCAAGAAGTTAACTTTTATTAAATTTACATTAATTTTGTGTGTTGATGACAGAAAATTTTGATATAAAAACTAAATCTGTATATTACTTTTAATATCTGTATTCTGTATATAACAAAAGGTTACTATTCAGAAATCAAACTTAAAGAATGGGAGCGAAAGAATAGCAGTTTATGACTCCAAGTCTGAGTCAAAAGTGAAGTCTTTTGGAGTTTCCTATTCTCATGCAAAGACTTTCCTTTCCCTTGTTAACCCTTTCCACGAATTCATGCTGAGTCCACGGGATGTTAATGGGTGGTCCTTTTGAGGAATGAATTGTAGACCCACCTGTGATGTGATATGACCTTTTTACACACAGCTTCTTTGTAGTGTTTGATGATTAATGTATTTAACACAAAATACTAAAATAAGATTGATTACGTTTATTATTATCAAGCGTTAAATTGAAATATAAGATATAAAAATTTCTGAAAATGGATAAGTAAGTAAATGAAGTACACATGTTGAATAACTTCAGTAATAAATTTTAATGGACCAAAAATGTTTTTGACCTACTTATATAGTTCTTCATTAGTTGGAATAACAAAAAAATTATAAATGAAAGAACACAAAAACAATCTAAATAGAACATACGTAAAATTTAAACCCAACAAAAATACATGTACAGTATTATGTTTATTAATTTCTTTCTCTTATAAATGAAAGACGAAGACCTGTATGATTAGGTTGAAAATGTTTTTTGTCTATTAAAAATTTATTGTTGGAGTTGTTCAAGATGTGCTTATTTCGTTCTAGTATTAAATGATAGTTTATCTAAAGTATGAAAGAGATAATTAAAAAGAAATCGTATAGAAGGAATGCAAAGTAAATTTAAAATTTTCAAAGTTGCAATATTTTCCTGAATATAAAATTTGTCATAAAAATAAGAGATTTTGGTTTAATTTACACAATATAAAAACCAAAATTAAGTTTTATAATAATCTGTAAAAAAATATTCAAATAAATTTATTTTGAGAGAAGTTAAATTGAAAATAAAGCTCTGTTTGCATTTATTCTGTCACAACAAATTGCCATACAACTACTGTTTTTATAAAAATAATTAAGAAATTAATCAAACTTCCTGATAAATATGATACTCCAACTGTCTAGTGATTGTACAGTACGTTAAACGGTACATTAAACGGTCAAATAGCTGAGATGGTAAAGACATCATCCTACTGTTCTATTTGTAATTAAATTTGTATTTAGTTCAGATTCTCAAATTTATAAGTGGATATGTTAGCAGCTGGATGGTGAGGACAAAATCAATGATGAGTATGGATGAAAGTCATAAAAAAAAAAATATATATATATATAAGATCCAATCATATGAGCTATGAATACAAAGTAAATACAAAATATTTAAATATTGACCAATGAGAGTTTAGCTAAAACTATTTAAAATCAATGCTTCATAAAAAATGTTTTATTGACCTAATTATATTACAGTTTAATATCATTATATTTACAGATTTGTAGGATAATCGATGCCCTATTTTTATTAATTTATCGACTATTGGCTTACCAATAATTATTATAATCAGAAGAAGTCTAATCCTATTGATTGAAATTTACGAACGTCATCTGTGAAGTGGAACCTGGTTAATTAACTGGAATCGGTCTGGGAAAAAATTCGGACTTCAAGTTAAAAATTTTCAGTTAGTTGGTTCGGGTAAAAATCAAGATTTTGTGCATCGGTATATCGGTGACATTATTAAAACTATCCATACAATATTTTCGCGGGTCTTATTACGTAGAATTACGCGTTAATGTAAACTTCGTGTCGCCCAGAAACTCTAAAACGCTTAACCGAATGGTTAAGGGAACTGCGGGGTGCCATTGACACTTGGAACTACTGACCAATCAAGCACATCAAGAGTCATGGCAGTGACTCCTCGCCAAGTATATAAGTCACAGTGTATATATTCAGGAATTGGTTGCCGATTTTCGGCGATCGCTTTCTCCGCTACCCGAACACCTATAGTAATTTCGAATATCTCATCTCGTTCGAAGGAAAATTGTTTTCTTAGGTGTGTGCAAAATTTCAAGATTTTCTATAAAGCGATTGCCGAAATATAAGCAGTCAAAAAATTAAAAAATCTCCAAAAAAGCTATATTTTCTTCTCATTTTTCTTCATCCCGCACTGCAGACGATGGTAGAGAAAAAAGTAGTGGGTCTAGAAAGCTCAAATTTTAAACTCTAGCCCAGGGGTGTCCAACCTTTTTGTTTCTCTGGGCCGCATTGGAAGAAGTCAAGGAGTTTTGGGCCACAAGTATATATAATATATACTTGTGGTTCAATATACAAGTATATTTAAGGATTAACATGTCTAGATTATAATAATAAGTATTAAAACTTTATCACGAAACAGGATATTTTAAAAAATTACTTCTACAGACACTTTCAATTTTTACTTAGAAATAGATAAATTCATTTATTTGATAAAACGCAAATATTTGGTTTATTTGAGTCTCTGATTAATAAAAAGCGACGAAACACCATTTTAAAGTGCATTTTTATTCAACTAATATATTTATAAATGATATGTAGCCCCAAAAGTAGCCAAAGCGCCAAATGATATTTTTTTACGTTAAACTAAAAAAAGTAGCCACATTTGGCGCAATGTAGCCAAATCTTGCAACGCTGGAAGGAATACTAAATAAAGCTGGAGTTTTGACTCAAAGGATTATAGAGCCAAATTCGGAAAAAGAAGAGAAAGGACAAAAGATAAAGAAGTGAGAAAGGTTGGAAAATTAAGACTCAATATTTGCCTAACAGAAGAACTATTTAACCTTTCTGACAACTTTTTATCTTTTGTCCTTTCTCTCCTTTCACCAAATTTGGGTCTATAATCCTTTGAGTCACAACTCCAGCTTTATTTAGTAATCCTTCCTCATTCACACATCTCCAAGTACATGAAAATATTTCATTTCCACTCAAAACTAAAATATGAATAAAGGTTTATGGCTTTGTGAAACTTCTTTTCTGAGTTTATGCCGTTGAAATAAATAAATAATAAAAAATTAAAACATTTGTCGGTTTTGTTTACACCTTTATTGGGCCGCATTGGAACTTGCCTTGGGCCGCGGGTTGGACACCCCTGATTTAAAGAAATCTATAAAAAAATTTCAATAAATTCCTGTGTTTCATTAAATATATATGTATTAGGGGATTAGACAATGAATTATATGGGCCATCTTCCTAGGGGTTCTATTGGAAACAGACCACTATTTAGGTTAGAAAAGAAAAGAAAACCAGAGAAACCTTTAGGATCGAACTAGTTACTAGTGTACAGTAGTATTATTCACTAGGCCATTAGTAGGCAAATAAAGAAAGAATAGTAGTTTTATAATTGAGCATAAACATATTTTAAATTATACAATAATTAAAAACTTTAGAAAAATACTAATTTATATACAAAATTATTAAATTTAAATAGAAAATGTTTACTTGTAACGGCGATGATATGTTTGTTTTGACAACCACATTAAAGCTAAGTTTTACAGAATCAGGAACAATGGCCGGATCTGAAGAAACATTCAGAGATTTTATTTGAATTGTATCAGAAGATGTATATTTATCCCAATAAAACTGAAATGACGGTTTATCATTCTGTAAGCAAAGAAACATAATAAGTTTATATAATAATTATAATTTACTAAATATTAACAACAAAGGATTGTATTAAAAACACCTTACTTTTTCAATTCCTTTACTTTCGTGGAATTCTCTCCATTGACGATCGAAATTCTGTAGTCAGACATAAATTTATAAAACGATTCAAGTGTTCCATACATTGAATTAATTCCTTCTATAGGAGTAGAAGGTCTTGCATAGATTGGGCACATTGCAAAAGACAGTAATAAGACAGAAATAACTTCCGACTTATTCCGTCCAAAACTTGTACCTGTTATACAGAAACTTTAACAGTTTCTTTGTTTGAATTCGTGACTTTCTTTTTATGTGTCTTCTCTGTTCCCACCCAACCTTAACCAGACTTTTCGTTCAAATCCATAATTCATACGTTCTGCAAATAAATAATAATAATGATAATTTTTATTATCTTATCTTCCTATTTAATAAAAGTAATTAAGGGAACGTGTCACGTGTCACGTTTTATTCACTGTTTGAAATACTAGTACTTTGTTGATTTACTGCAATACAATAGCATAAAATTTGAAAGATTTCTGAAATGTGTGGATGAATACAGAGTTGATGAAGTAATCGGCCTTATTACTATACTAGCATTAAGTGAAAACGAATATGATTTGAATTGTACATAAAATGTCATGTGACTTGACCAAATTGTTTGGGTCGCTTGCCTATAGGAGTGACAATGTCACTACTTTCGTTTCTGCTAATCGCTAAAGCAGCGTGTCGAATTTACCAACAAGTAACATTTACT